AAAAACAACTGGGATCCTGGAATCCCATTTGAGAAACACTAGTATAAAAGCTGTCATCTCTGTGTGTCTGTGTGTGAATTCCTTATAACTCCTGCAATTTTTGTCCAATCCAGATTAAATTTTGGTTATATTTGTTTTATGTTCTGACAGAAAGTATAGGCTATTTATTTTGCAGAAATATTAGCTATAAAATAAACATTTTATAGATTTTGGATCTGTGATCACACTTACTTTGATAGTGGGAATTTATAGGTCCACAATTTTTTCAAATTGCAGCCCAATAACAATTCACATATTCAAGCTTCTTTAGATGTTAAAATACGATAATGTTTGATGACTTCACTATCTGCTATCTTTCAAATTGTGTAATGAGGGTGTAATCTAATAATATTTTATCTTCAATATCAACCGGTCTTTCTGAGCTTGGAATATCTTCAAGGTTGAAATTATCTGCTGTAAATTTAGCAAACCATTTTCAAACTGTTGATTTTGCTTCAGCACCCTCACCAAAAACATTATATATTATGTATATAAAAGCTTTTGTCTCAAAGATTATTGGTAAATGAATCTCAAACACTGTGTAGCAGTGAGATTCATTTACCAATCACATATTTCTTTTGCTGTTCATATGACATATTTGCCTTTTCAACAGAAGAAAAAAAAAATGTTAAAAATGCAACTTGTTTGCTTTCATTTTCACAAGACAAATTAAACAAAATTTAAATAATCTTAACAGAGTTCCCAAGAGCAGTAGATATCGTAACTCCTCAGTAATCTGGCCATAATTTGAAAGTACTGGAATGGAATATTATACATTACAAAAAAAAATTTGCAGCTTCTGAAGTAAGAATATTTAATTGCCTGAGTTTTCAGGTTACACTTCAGTTAGTAACTAATTAAACAAAAACTAATTTATTATAATTAAGTAATTTACAAATTGAAAAACAAATTAAGTAATTTGGCATAATGGTAACAGAATGCCACCATCTTATTAAATTTAATTCAAGATGGCAGTCTAACTGCTAATCACTTATCATTATGCCAAATTATTTAATTTGTTTAATTAATTACCAGTCTAAGTATAGCATGAAAAATCCAGCAATTAATTAATTATACGCTAATATCAGTTGTGTAATTTTTTATGTTTATCTTAAACTAGCAGACCCTGCTACGCAATGTTGTGGCTAAAAATGTATCTATTATAAATGTATAACACAGCGTTTCTCAAAGTGGGCGATAACGCCCCCTTGTGGGCGCTGGAGGCTTTCAGGGGGGCAGTAGAAGGCTCAAAGAGAATTGGGAGGGCGTTAAGGAAATATAGAGGGGCGACGGCAGACAAATTCTATATATAAAAATTCGATGGAATATATATAAAATCTTGACATTTTATATATTTTTTATTTTTTATTGAAGGTCNCAAATCCTTTGCGGGTAGCCAGAGGTAGGACAAGGTCATACCTCTTTTCCTGGCAACGGTTTAGTGGAAACTACTTCGTCACTGGATGGCATTTTTGTTCATTTGATCCCATGAGATGGAACGGTCAATGATGTTTACCATAGAAAATTCCAGAATTTTTACCGGAAGTCATATGTTCTTTCTTCGTATTATTAATTTTTTGGAAATTATTAATTTTAAAAGTTATTATACTCAGTGATGGCTATTGAAGAATTTCTGGAGAATCTAAGGAAGCCATTCAGGATTTAAAGAGATATTTCCGTAATAACCCAAAAGGGCGATTGGATTCTGAGGAACATATTAGATTTATTACAGATAAATTTATTACCTTAGTGAAGAGTGCCGAAGAGGTAATTAGGAAAAATACCATATCAGATTTCCTGCTTCAGAAATTTGATTTGTTGGCAATGAAAGAGGATGTCAAACAGCTGTTTGTTGCTCAGAGTGACAAAAATTTAGAGGCTATTCAGGAAGTGAAATAGACTATTTGTGACTTAGAAAAACCTCCACTTTTAGGGGTGGAAGGTTCTCAAGGGACTACTGCTCTGACATATAGAGATATTTTACAACGCAATCTTAATTCTTTGAAGAATACACAGTCTGAAAAGGAATCCTCGTTACCAACGTACACTGTTCTAGTTTACAATGATAATAAAGAGAGCACATTGGAAGAGACTAAGACACTGCTCACTAATTCTTTTGATCAAAGATTGCATAAAATGCCTGTCAAGCGTATTCGTAAGATTAACAAGGGTGGAATTGCTGTTGATTTTTCTATCAGAGAGGAGGCTGAATACTTTCAGGAACAATTAGACAAAATAGAAGGATTAAAGGCACGAAACGCAAGATGGTGTCTTCCTCTTATGAAAGTGACTTCAGTCCCCAACTCAGTTACCAAAGAGGACCTACTAGAATACCTGCTTGAACAGAACATTTTTTTACAGAAGTACACAATGGAGGAGTTTAAAAAGGTTTTAAACATTCAATTTTCAACCAAACAGAGAAATGACGAGTTTTTATTATGGGTGTTAGCGATGTCACCGGAGTTTAGGGCAATGACTAAAAAACAAAGATATCTTTATGTTCAGTGGAAAACATGTAATGTTTATGATTTTTTCCTGTACGACAGTGCTACAAATGTCTTGCTTTTGGACATTTGGCAGCAAGTTGCCCATCACCGAAGAAAGTTTGTAGCCATTGTGGTGACGATCATTTGTTTAAGACATGTACAAAAAAAGTGAAAAGCCTAAATGTGCTAATTGTTTGAGGACTGGCCTAGATAAACATGAACATAACACACTAGATAAGGAGTGTCCACTCTATATTAAAGCAAAAGCCTTATATATTAAGACAGCTGACTACTTACCTTAATAATTATGGAATCCTTTACAGGGCACAAATTGTTTAATTCATAGTGCTACCTCTGCTTCTTAGCACAACAACTAATACAAGCAGATCATTGCTTCTCTATATATATTTGTGTTTGCTGACTGTAAGAAATATGTAAGCTTCATCATCTTTCTCTGTTTTTGGGTTTAAAGTGTTGGAATTGATACTTACAACAACAGTAGACCCCCCTACAACATGGGTTCCTATAATTACGATTCCTATAAGACGGCGAAAAAATTGCGACTGTATCCGTACAAACCTGGTAAAAAACTCCTATAATTCGATAAAACGTCATCGGGCAGCTGAACTACTTTCCGCCGTCCAGCGCCACTCTACGGAGAATTTAGGCGGGTAAATTGAGTTTACTATCGTCTGTACAGTATTATATATAAATTAGGTACTGTACATATAATTATATATTAATTATATACAAATTAGGTACTGTATATATAATTATATATTAATTTAATTTATTGTAACTTTAAATCCATATAGTAATGCTCTTCATGCAATGCCTTAAGGGGTTAATTAACTAATCAAGCCACACTGAGCACAGAAATGGTGCTTCTGCAATTATTATTAGTTCTACAAAAACTTTAATTGAAATTTTCTCGAGAATGCAAATTATAAATAGTTAAATATGTAACCTACATTACAAATATCGTATTTTAATATACATATTCAATATCTAAAAACTGTTATTCTGTATCTTTATGTAAAAGTTAAAACTTCTAAACCGAATCTGAATCCATTTGATGGTATCTTAAAAATGAAAATATTTGTGTGTTAAATTTGATTATATAATGTAGAATTATAGTAATTTGATATTTACGTAAGCAGATTCAACCTTTTAAAAACAAATCAGAGAAAAAAAAAGCATAAAAAATATGATTTGTTTCTTGTTCATTATATATTAATTTTTAGGAGATGTGAGATCCAAATAGCCCCTGGGTCTAAGTATAATTTAAATATAACGTTAAATTTTTAAAGTAAAATATTATTTCATTTTGGTGTGAAAATATTGTTTTTCTAACGTGGGAAAACTGATAAAAGAGCCACTTCCTTTAATGGAAACTGAAGCATCTTTTGTTTTCCACTTATCTGTTACAAATCTCACCACCCTGGGAATTGCCGACCTCTCAATAATTCCCCTTTTCATCCGTTCACGTGAGTAAAGACAAATAAGCTGATTGGTCACAAATCATGAGATATAGGCAAAGATCTGCATGATTCGAGGAGTACGTCGGGGAATCTCATAGTGGAAAGAAGTTCTCATATTGTCTCCCTAAGGCCAATGTCCTTAGTTAGGAGTATGCCAGAAGATCCCACGAAGGAAAGACGTAGTCCATTCAATGCTCCTAAGGCCAACGCCCTTAGTTAGTAGTAGTATCGTATGCAGAAAGCCAATGTCCATAGACATAATTTCTCCATGTTAAAGCTAAGTTTAGTTAGAAATACGGAAGATATTTCTAACTAAACTTATTACGGAAGATATTTTATTTTGTGCCTTAAGACCTCTTCATGAACAGAAGTCAGAGAACTGAGAAAACAAAGTAAAATCGACGAATCAAGAAGAAGATAAAGTCAACTAAGAGGTTGTATGTTTTCATGAATTTGTGAGCTCTCTCTCTCGGTGCGTATATTTTGATTTATTCGTTGTCTGAATCGATTGTCTTTGACTATTTAACTATTTCCATTTTTGTATGATTTGTTTATTTTAGTTTATTATTAAATTTTTCTTTATTCATTGTTAAAGTCATGTCTTATCTTTGTCTGAATCAAATCACACGCATGTTAATCCGCGTGTAAAATAACTGATTAACTGGTGTTAGGTCCCTGACAAAAATCTAGACTTCACAGTCCAGATCGTTTTAAATATTCACAGCCCTCCTAGAAAGGATTTAAGATCGGATCTCTCAATCCAAAACTTTGAGAACTATTCTCACGGAACAGATGCCTACTAAGTGATACAGGAGTAATAAACTACCCTGTACCCCAGGCTAGATCTCTCACAGATAAATATTAGTTTTATTCTTTAATGTTTTTGAAACATTAAGGAAATAAAAGAAATTATGATTTTAGCATGAAAACAATAAAATCATCTAAAATAAATATTTTATTACAGTAAATTAATATCTTAAAATTAATAACTTACATGCCAAGCCAAGAATAATGCTTCCACTACTTGAAGTGGAATGAAAATTGGGTGGGCATTTCTGCTGTTGATAATAATGTTGTAATAAAACCTTTATTACTAAAAATGCATGAATGGCACTAAAGGAAAAAATAAATTACTAAATAATTTTTGAAATATTTTTACACACATTTTATTCAATATAAAATAATAATAAATTTGTGATAATTCAATCACATAAAAATATCACACAGTAACAGATTAGCAAGAATATATAGAATAAATTATAAGGAATTCAAAAACACATTTCATTATTATAGTACTAAAATGTTATATTATTGTGCACCTTCAGAGTGACCATTGAAAGTACAACACTGGTATTTAATTTATAAAATACTATTTCAAACATTAAAACATTGTTTTTCTATTACACTTCATTGTAATTGCAATTATAAATCAAGTGAAACAAAAATGAGGAATACTAAAAGTAAATTTAAACTTCGTATGTGAAAGATACAAATCAGCTGCAATTTTTAATCATATTTTTAATTTATTTAATTTAAAATATATGCTCTCCACCCTCAACTTAGTACTGTAGAGTCTTGCCCCTGTACATCATACTTTACTGTTAGCAATGGAGTTGTGTTAGTCATCTAACTCCTTTCAGGAAAAAATTTATTAAATTGAAATAATGTGACTTCTGGTTTGCATTGGAAGTTCATATATAGTTAATTGGTGCCTCCTGTTTCCAAGCTTTCCAATTCAAGACCATCTGGTCTTGAATTTCATTTATCAAACACCGTTCTTGAGATTAAGGAAATACAGACGAATGGATAAATAAACTTATAGAAATTTCTTTTGTGGGAACTTTTGTGGGAAATTTTTTTACATTGCAGCCCAATAATAATAAGTGTTAAAATACTTTGAAAAAATTAAACAGAAATTAATTTGAAAATCTGTAATATCCAATGACAGAAGGGAATGGTAAGTTGATCATACAGCTCTTATTTGCTATGAAAAATGCCAAGTTTAATTCAGATTACTGTTGCCTGTTTAAAAAATTCAGCAACGAGTTGCTTAACTTTTCCAGCAATATTTAAAACTATGCATGTGGGACTATTTTTTTTTTTTTTTTTTTTTTGATTTCATAGTAAAATTTGTCTTTGGATTTTTGAATAGCTTGTTTTAATGTATGGAAAGTAACAAATAAGGAATTAATAGTAGTATTTTTATCGAATCCTATTAATTATATTCAAACAATTTTTGCTTTTGAGTTTTTCAACAGAAATCTTGCTGCAAAACAAATTACATAATGTGAAACAACCTAGGAACATGTGACAACATGGCATACAGAATTAAGTAGAACAGTATACTTTTTTCCTTGTGAGAACAATGATCCAACCAACACATTCTCAATAAGTGTCTCTCTAACTGTGATCCAAACTGAACACTGCATTACCAAAATTATCTTTTGTATCCATGTACAAAAATTTCTATTGCTCAGCACTAGTTCAGACAGACTTGCTAACAGCAGCAGAATGTAAAAACAATTTATTTTTACATATTAAATTTGATTCCCACTGCTATTTCTTAGTAAGAAAATAGCAAAATGCACAATAATATGCAAACAACAGCAAATGTCATTAAAGCAAGATGATGGCTGCTAATAACAGCAAAATTGTTTGTATTTTTAAAAAATTTCAAAATTATATTTGTAAGAATATAACTAGAAACTATATTATTTGTAGCTACCATGTAATAATTCTCTCATCTCCATTATCTGATTGTTCTAAACAGTAATAAATCTTCTTCACTAGCAGAAAAGTTCAAAATATCAAAATACAATTGTAATTTGCAAAACAGAAAATTCACTGAAAAGAATGTTACTGCCAACATAATATTTATTCTTTTCATCTTTTGCAGCAATTTGCTCTTTATATGATATAAGCTTAAAATTAAAATACTTCCTACTTAACTTTCTTGAATTTATTTTGTCATTTATTATTATTTTTATTATGGTGTTGATAAAATGTCCTACATGGCTTTTACCAGTTCCTAGTGGTATGCAAGACCTAGGTCAAGTGATATGAAGAATATAATTAGTAAGACATCAATTCAATAAAAGCAATAAAATTCTAGAATAATGGGAGAAAATTGAAAAGAAAAAATTTTGATGTCAAAATAGTAAAAGCATGTTGAGACAAAAAACGAAAAAATTATCTGAAAGAAAAAAACACACATTAATCTGCATAGAATACACAAATGTGATTTCCTAATATACATTCAAAATGCATCACATCTGCTGTTTTATATTCTTTTTGTAAAGTATAGTAATGAAGAAAGAGTCATTTGGTATAGAAAGCATTAAACTCTATAAATAATTAAATGCACATTATTCATCATTTTTTGTCTTACAATTTGCATAAAGTTTGAATGTGGATACAGCCATTGATATGAAGATTGAAAACCTCTTGTTTTGTTATAAACTAAAAATTGTTTTTTCAATTTTCGTAAATAAATAGTCAAAATATTTAACATAAATTAATTTATTTAGCTTTTTAAAATATTCTAAAACTGTTTTATTTGATTAAATTTTATTTATTTTATTGACACAAAAAAGTATTTATTTAACAATTTTTGGACAAGTAAAGTTTACTTAATTTTTAAAAATTTAGTATTTCATAAAAATCTGATATTCTTACCATTTTCCTTGCATTATAGTTTTATAAATTATAGATTTTGTTGTTGATTTAGAAAACATTTGCACGGATAACATAACTAAGAGCGTATTTATAGCTTCAACAGTAACAGCATAAGTAATATTTCTGAAAAGAAAAAAATTATTTTAAGATTAAAAATCTAAGATATATTCAAATTCAACTTTAATAATTATTTCAGATTTTAAGATAATTTATTTAAAACTTTTGTTTTCAGTAAATAAAAGATTTTAAGTTCAGTCTAGCATCTGTAAACTGGACAGAACATGTTTTTTCTGAACCAGAAATTTAATCTATTTTAAAATAAATCACTTTGAATCTTTCAATTATTATTATACAGATTATATTTTATATTTCAAATGTTTCTTATCTGAATCCTATTAATAGTATAAAATAGAGTTTCCTATTTCCCGGTCTTTTGCTTGTCCCGGGATTCCGGGATAAAAGTGAACTGTTTCCCGGGATACCGGGATAGAATTAATTATTTTTAAGGTATACAAAATATCTTGAAATTAAATGATATAATTATTATTCATTTTTTAAAGTAATTTTAAAGTTCTGTATCATCCAAAATCATATTAATAATGCTGTGTAAGATATATAATAAAAATTACCTTTGAATTATGTAGAAATTTTCACAAATAGAAAAAAATTTATTAAATTTTGCTAGAAACTGCATACAACAACAAAAATGCTTTGAATTGAGTTAAAAATTAAAAATTGAACTTACATCAAACTTATAACATAGAAGGTAATTTTTGTTTTTTAAATAAAATATAATACAAAATATTAAAAACTTTTATAAGATTTTAAAAAGCAAAGATGATCAATACTCCGATCACTCACTCTAATTCTTATACAGAGAATGTCCTTTCCGATTCATTTGATGTAATTGGAATCGGAAAGGTTTAATGCATTTAAGAGAAGACAGATATTATGTGTTTTTTCACCTACAGCCTGGAAAATTTCGAGTTCGTTTTCGAGATTGTAGTACTTCTTTTGCTCTCTAGTATTTTTGATTTGTCTACCTGCTTTAATAGCGGCATCAAGCTTATAGCTCAATAATTCGGCAATTTCGTTTGGCTTTAATAATCAGGTTTATGAAGAAAAACTTCATACTTGCAGACTTCATACTCGTTTGTATCTTTGCCCAATTCGCACAATCTGGCGTTATGCATTTATTGAAGCTATTGGGCATGGTTAAAAATTAAGACATTATAAGCACAATTATTCCATATATTACAGGTTCTGACAAGTAAAGAATTTTCAGAGTCCTGCCACAAATAAGCTACGTATTGATTATCGACCATTTGTGACATGCCATAACGAGCAAAAATTAAAAAAAAAAAAACTAATAGGTAGGTTTAAAATTAATAAATACAAATGTATTCTGACAGTGAATGGGATAATTATGCTTTGTATTTGCAAAATTTCTTAACCTTAACACAAAATAAGAAAAAAAGTAAATTTTTAAGAAATTTGCGGGATTTCCTGGGATATTTCCTGGGTTAAAAAAACAACTGGGATCCTGGAATCCCATTTGAGAAACACTAGTATAAAAGCTGTCATCTCTGTGTGTCTGTGTGTGAATTCCTTATAACTCCTGCAATTTTTGTCCAATCCAGATTAAATTTTGGTTATATTTGTTTTATGTTCTGACAGAAAGTATAGGCTATTTATTTTGCAGAAATATTAGCTATAAAATAAACATTTTATAGATTTTGGATCTGTGATCACACTTACTTTGATAGTGGGAATTTATAGGTCCACAATTTTTTCAAATTGCAGCCCAATAACAATTCACATATTCAAGCTTCTTTAGATGTTAAAATACGATAATGTTTGATGACTTCACTATCTGCTATCTTTCAAATTGTGTAATGAGGGTGTAATCTAATAATATTTTATCTTCAATATCAACCGGTCTTTCTGAGCTTGGAATATCTTCAAGGTTGAAATTATCTGCTGTAAATTTAGCAAACCATTTTCAAACTGTTGATTTTGCTTCAGCACCCTCACCAAAAACATTATATATTATGTATATAAAAGCTTTTGTCTCAAAGATTATTGGTAAATGAATCTCAAACACTGTGTAGCAGTGAGATTCATTTACCAATCACATATTTCTTTTGCTGTTCATATGACATATTTGCCTTTTCAACAGAAGAAAAAAAAAATGTTAAAAATGCAACTTGTTTGCTTTCATTTTCACAAGACAAATTAAACAAAATTTAAATAATCTTAACAGAGTTCCCAAGAGCAGTAGATATCGTAACTCCTCAGTAATCTGGCCATAATTTGAAAGTACTGGAATGGAATATTATACATTACAAAAAAAAATTTGCAGCTTCTGAAGTAAGAATATTTAATTGCCTGAGTTTTCAGGTTACACTTCAGTTAGTAACTAATTAAACAAAAACTAATTTATTATAATTAAGTAATTTACAAATTGAAAAACAAATTAAGTAATTTGGCATAATGGTAACAGAATGCCACCATCTTATTAAATTTAATTCAAGATGGCAGTCTAACTGCTAATCACTTATCATTATGCCAAATTATTTAATTTGTTTAATTAATTACCAGTCTAAGTATAGCATGAAAAATCCAGCAATTAATTAATTATACGCTAATATCAGTTGTGTAATTTTTTATGTTTATCTTAAACTAGCAGACCCTGCTACGCAATGTTGTGGCTAAAAATGTATCTATTATAAATGTATAACACAGCGTTTCTCAAAGTGGGCGATAACGCCCCCTTGTGGGCGCTGGAGGCTTTCAGGGGGGCAGTAGAAGGCTCAAAGAGAATTGGGAGGGCGTTAAGGAAATATAGAGGGGCGACGGCAGACAAATTCTATATATAAAAATTCGATGGAATATATATAAAATCTTGACATTTTATATATTTTTTATTTTTTATTGAAGGTCATAACTTGAATATTTCTAACACATTGACTTTTATTTTAGCTCAGCGTTTCTCAAAGTAAGCAATAACACCCCCTTCTGGCGCGATGAATAGATCTATGATAGAGGCAGGGTATTGAACGGTGACCAAAGGCAAAATTGGGGCTGATAAGAGGAAACATTGCGTTTAATGGTTTCCAGATGATGAGAACAATGTACAGTAAGGGCACAAAGTGTGAGATTTATAGAAAAGTTTTCCTAAGAATATTTCCAATCCTTTTCTCACACCAGAGAAAATGGGTTAGGGGGCGTTGGGTATAACTTTATGGAACAAAGGGGGCGGTGGATCGAAAAAGTTTGAGAATCACTGGTATAACACTTCCTCCGTGGGAGGAATTTTTTGAAAAATCCCTTCTTAGTTAACATTCTCTTGGCCCTATTAAAACGCAATTAAAAATGCAAAAAACCACATCTAAATAGTATAATAGAAGCCAAGTTCTTCACGGTAAGCCTTCATCCTGTCCATCTCCATCCCAGTGGGAGGGAATTTCGACACGTATATTATATAAAAACATGTGCATATTCGAATGCAATGTTGTGTCAAAATTTCAAAGGAATCAGTAGGAACAAACGAACATTACATTTTTATTTATATAGATAGATAGAAGATGATCTGCTTTAGTTCATTCTCACAGAAAAGCAAACTTAGGTCGCCGTACTCGTGGAGTTAGCACCATCTGTTGGACATAAAAGCCTTAATCCTAGATGATATCTTTTAATTTATATAAATGTTTAACGAAATAATATACAGCCTATGTCCACCCTGAAGTTCCTTTGTAAATATTGGTGAAAGAATTTTTGAAATCGGATGAGTAGTTTCGGAGATTACCTCCTACATCCAAACTTACAAACTTTACCTCTTTATAATATTAGTATAGATAAGAAATGCCATAAAATGAAAACAACTAATAAAAGCAATTAATATGTTTACTGAATAAAAAAATTAACGAAATACACACTTTAATATTTACATTGAAATAATGCAATGTAAAAGAAAAGAAAATCAATGAATATTTGCATGCACCATAAATTTATTTGTTTATCCATTTTCAAATTAAGATCATACATAGTATGTACTGCACAGTACCTTGGAAATATTTACATATGCTGTATGTAATTGATTGACATCAATATGTTTAGTTATTATTTTTTGCAAGTGCTATAGTGTTAATGACATTAATGACATCTACTCTCCATTCAGTATATATACTATATTCATCTTAAAGTAATTAATGTTTAAAACAATACTCCAACCTACACTCTGGTGGACAAGAACAACAACAAATTCTATCAACAAATTAACAGTTAAAACCATAAATTATTAAAATTAGAGATATAAAATTAATTAATGATTTTAAAAATAATCTAAGAACAAACTATTTACAATAATAAAAGTTTCTCTTATTAAAAAATAAATAATAAAGATTAAATACTCACAAGATAAGGTTTTTTCATGTCAGTCTACATTTTTAATAAAATATATATCATTCAATAGAGGAAAAAAAATATGACGACTTGTATTGTACGTACTATGTATGATTTTAATTTGAAAATGGATAAACAAATAAATTTATGGTGCATGCAAATGTTCATCAATTTTCTTTTGTTTTACATTGGCTAAACACAAGAGTAAGGCTTTGTCTCCTCAGAAGTAAAAATTCATTGTATGATGCACCATTCTCTTCAGCCCATTGCATACTGAGCTCAAATGCATTAATCGCATCTTTAGCTGACACTTGTGGAATAGTTGCAATGACTTCATCATCATTGTCTTTGATTTATTATTGGAATAGAAACTTGGTTGACAATCAATCTCCTCATCAGACATTTGATGGAACACACTTTCTTCTTCATCCATTCCACAATACCAGATTTCCAAATTTTCTGAACTAATCTGCGTTTTGGTAGCAACTTGCTCTATGACTTCCGAAGTAGCACTGATTTGCAGAGCGGTACCAGGAGTGGTGACAATTTCTGGCCATAAGTTTTTCCATGACAATGTAATGACTGATGGGAGCAATGCATTACAAGATTGACAAAGGGAGAAAACTAAGTCTTTCATGTTTAATTCTTTTAATGTTTTTCTATAGGTTGGTCTTTTGATTTGGCCATCAGCAGCAGTTTTTTCTTGTAGTCTTGCTTGACAAACTGAATGATATGCTGATCCATTGGTTGGATCAGTGCAAAGCAGTTTGGTGGAAGAAACATCACAGTAATACATTTATCCTCTGTTGTTAGTTCTTCTTTGGACAGAATCGGGAGCATTATCAAGAAGCAGTAACGCCTTTTGAGGTAGATTATGATCTTTCAACCATTTCCCAACTTCTGGCATGAAGCATTCATCAAACCATTTTTTGAAAAATGTCTTTTGTCATCCATGCTCTTTTTTGTCCATAATAGTGTACAGATAAATCAATGTTTTTGAATGCTCACAGATTCTCTGATTTTCCAATGACCACCATCTTTAACTTGTGCGTGCCTGAAGCATTAGCACAAGGGAATATGGTTACACGTTCTTTGCTCACCTTACATCCAGGTACAGATTTCTTATTATGTGAAACAAATGTTTTGCTAGGTATTACACACCAAAAAAGCCCTGACTCATCTGCATTGTATGCCTGTGAAGGACAAAAATCTAAATCTTTCACTTTTCGTAAAAATCTCAATTTAAATGGCTCTATGCAGGATGCATCATTAGAGAGTTTTTCTCCTGTTACAGTCATCAAATGTATTCCATGACCACTTTTGAAGCATTCCAACCATCCCTTGCTAGCTACAAAGTTGTCTTTTTTTGTTATCTCCTTGTAAAAAACTTTGCTTTCATGGCCAATATGGGCCCATGAAGAAACCACATGTACAAAGACTCTTCAACCTCTGGAATTTCAGCTTTCTTGAGTGTCTGCCTCTTGCCAGGCCCACAGTCAGTGATTGACACAAACTTTTGAATGTTCTCACGGTTCTTTTTAATATCACAAACTGTGGAACGTCCTACGCTGTATTCACTTGCCAAGCTACTAAAAGATTCATTGCGATTTAGGCAGTCCAGAATCTCCCTTTTTTCTTTAAATGTTAATGTTTTGTGCTTCTGCTTTTGGATTTGCGAAGCTATTGCAACACATGTAGATACATGTTGTACGATGCAACAGCAATATATGAATGCCCATGATCACATTCATAATCAAACTGAGACAATACATGTTGAGTTTCAGAGGCGACCTTTCTTTAGAGGCTACTGCCTCTGCCAAAAATGTAAAAACAGGTAGAGCATCCTCTGGTGTTATTGCCACTATCATATCAATACATTTAAGTGAAAAATAATAAAAAAAACATGGCCGGGATTATTTACATTTAATAAATTTACAAAAATATAAATATGACTTCTTTACAAAGGTAAAATCTTGGTTTAGTCCATATTTTTGCTGTGTTTTTCTTAATTATTTTTTACTTAAATGTATTGATATGATAGCGGCAATAACACCAGAGGACGCTCTACATGTTTTTACATTTTTTGGCAGAGGCAGTAGCCTCAAAAGGAAGGTCGCCTCCGAAACTTTGTGAATTTTTATGGATTGTTGATGGTGTGAATGGCAAAAAGATGGACTAAAGCAAGGTTTTACCTTTGTAAAAAAGTCGTATTTATATTTTTGTAAATTTATTAAATGTTTAAGCATGCATTGACAAAGATTTGCCGTAATAAATGTGCTTTGTATGTACTGTTATAGGCATGTTGGATTATAGGGGGTGCCGGATTACAGTGGGTCCACTGTACTTACACTCCAGTCTGAAGAATTGTGAATAGAATATCCATATGTCAAATTTGCCTGTATAGTTTCTTTTTTTTATTGTCTTAGTGTCACAGATAATGTGTGAACTACATATGTTTAAAAATACAATAGTGCAATCTAGTTACTACAAAAAACTTCCTAGAATTATTCTTAGTATCAAACTGCTATAATAGTTAACAAAGTTGACAAAGCTTAATTTTGAGGGTAGGGATGGGTTTTATAAAAAATTGTAAATGCTAATAATAAGGAAAATCACTATTAAGTCCAACCCTATTCAAGATATGACACACAACCCCCTTTATACCCCCACCCCGTCAACCTTTAACCATCAAACTTAATAGCATCAATCCCCCTAATTAATAATTTAATACACAAACCTCCCTGCAAAATTTCAAAAATTTTCAACATAAAGCACAGGAGTTATTATGCTTCAAAGAGTGTGAACAAAATCATGCCTCCACGCACACATCCATACATACAGGAAAAAAAAAAAACCCCAAATTTTTTTGGATTTCTCAATGTTTCAAGGTCCCAAGTCCTAAAATCTTGAAGGGTCAATTTTAACTGATTGCCATACTTTCCCTCTATTATATTAATATATAACAGAACCAGAAAAGTAAAATTGAGTAACTAATTTAAAAATAAAATTAAACTTCAGAGCTGCCTATCTTAGCCACACAAAATTATACTCAATATGGATCATTTTTTTCACCTAATGCATGTGGAACACAAGCATCATGTTTTACAACCATTTCAAGTGGATGAAGTGTTTCAATAATACCTGTCTGTGACACATTAAGATTTGTTGCAAGTTCACAAATTGTTATTAGTCTATTTTTAACAATTTCTACCTGCAATTTTTCTTTGTCAACAGTTTTTGGGTAAACCATACATTTTATATCCTTTAGTTCAAAATTCCTTGAATGAAACTTTCAAAACTACATTTGATACATTCAAGTTTAGGAGCATTTTTCCCATACACACTACAAGTATTTTTTACTGTTTGTATAGCATTATATGCCTGATATGTATTTTATCTGCAGACATTTCAACTTGATTTTATTCAAACAAAATGTGAAGTAAAAAGTTTAAATAAGCTTCTAAACAAATAATACAATATCACATTAGCAATACAGTAGAGTGTCATTTATCCGAATCAATTGGGGACTGGGTTGTTCGGATAACTTATTTTTCGGAATACCAATTATGTACGAAAAAATATATTAATTTATCCCGTGTTGAAATTTTTCTCCGTTGCGTGTCGCTTCGCGTTGAATTTTCGTCAATGTTAACCCTAACGAAGACTATTGTATTGTTAAAAATTATTTTTTTTATTTTGTACAAAATAAATATATTGAAAAATATAAAAACAATAAAAATTTATACTTCAGAAGTTAATTTAGTATCAAAAACGTAAAATATTTGAGTAACCGAAGATATAGCCAAAGATTACAGCGCCACAGCACTGACGAAAATTTAAATATGTCGACTGGAATTCCTTCGGATAACCGACCTTCGGATAAACGACGCTCTACTGAAATGTATTAAATTTCACAATTGTTATAATTAAATCATATATCTATGTTAAGTAAAGACAGCTGTTAAAAATACTGAAAACTTTCCATTAAGCATGGAAGAGAATACCAAATTTTGTTATAAAGTCTGATTTTCCTTTCTGTTTCCATATTGGACAGGTTTTTGCTATATACAGGTTCTGATATAGACAAGTTTGACTGTATAAAGCACATATCATAAAGACAAAAATAGGATTTTGAAAATAAGAATGCCACTTTTATTTTTGAGCTGCAATTTTCAAATGACGGAGGTATAAATTCCCACTAGTGTCTGTCTGTCCTTTGTTAATCTTAAGAACAGAATTAGATAGATGAAAGCTGAGAATAGATATTGAAAGCTTAGTGGCCAGAGGACTGAATTAACTATATATGAACTTCCAGTAGGAACTGGAGGTCATGTGATTTCAATTCAAAAATTTTCTCCAGAATAAGGTTAAACCAGTATAACTCAAATGTTATCAGGAAAAGTATGATGTACAGGGGCAATGCACTACTAAAATTGATAGCATATATTTAAATTAATTTACATTAAAAGATGATTAAAAATTGTAGCTCCACATTGTGACATGTTACAATAAATAATTGCTCATTTATTCTATTTTTTGCCCAGCTCATACTGTTTTTAAGTTAAGTAAACTATACTTACAAGTATTATGAACTGAGGAAATTCATGGGAGAAATTTGAATTACTGTACAGTAGATTTAAATTATAGGGAGTTCAAGTTAGCCAGACTACATTCTATTTTATGAAATAATTTTCATAATTATACAAAATACTAACTTAATAATAATTAACATATCAAACCTCAACATACATAACAGGGACATCAACTATAATTTCAAGAAGACTATTTATAAAGCTTTCTAACAGCTCAACTCCATCATCAGCATCATCATCATCTTTTCCCTCTAAAAAAATAAAATAATTTTATTTATTTATTTATTGAATGAAATTTATAAAATAAATGTAGAATAAATGAAAAAGATTGATAGATTCTCAGATATTATTAATTTTAAATTGATTGGTATTTTTTTCTTTTATGCCTATAAAGCCATAGAATAAAATTACTGGCTATAAATATAAATGTTTCAAACATTTACTATTTTACAATCTCTAAACTAAATCAGTTGGTAAACTAATCTATAAATTTTTTCATTTAATAAATATTATTAAAAATTTTTCCTCTAGAATTCTTAATAAATACAGGGTGATTATAATCTTGATCCATTTTTGTGAAAATAGGAACAAAATCATTTACATATTATGTGAAGTATGCTGACCAAGAAAAGAGAATCACTATGGTTTGGGCATGTTGGAGTGAATTAATGTACAGAGAAGTACCATCAAATCCTCCTGTTCCATAGCCTTCGAGATTGTGACACATTGCTTGGAGGGTGGCATAGTCCTCTTTCTCTTCCTTCAGTTTATATAACACTTGGACACACATACATGTTTTATGAGTTTGTAATGAAGGATCTCCCATACTTGGAGGTTGTCATGATGCAGTGAGCACTCAGCTTAGTTGTCTAGTTGATAATGTAGACTCTGTATTATTACAGTTTCTACATGTTGAATCATTTCATTCAATATAATATGAATTTGGTAACCAATAGTCTGATATTTGTCCTGGTAGGAACAACTTTCTGAATTTCTGGGTGAAGTTTGTTTATACTTCTGTATACGTTAATCCACTAAAATATGCACAAACAACAGCAATTCTCTCTTCTTGGATCAGCATGTTTCACACAACCTGCATACAAATGATTTTGTCACCATTTTCACAATAATGGATTGAGACTTTATAATCACCCTGTATAGTATTTCCATTATAGATAATCTACATGCTTTAAAAATATCAAATATTTTATAAGATTGATTTTTCTTTCAATGAAACAAAAATAAAAATCTACAAAACTATAATTAATTATACTGAAAGCATGAAAAATAATCTTAATAATTTAAATAATTTTTTACAATGTATTATTTAAGGAGTTAAGTAAAAACTATTTATGTAATTGTTATATATTAACTGCATGAATAATAATTACAAATAAACTTATTTTTAAATTGCAGACTAAATAAATTTATTTTTATTTTGCTATTTATATGCACGGTTAACGAGAGTTATGTATGTTTTATAAAATTTTATTTATAATCTATATACATTAGAAATTCAATATTTTAAAATTGATATATTTACTTCTTAAAGGGAATATGTCAGCTTAACTAAACATGTTGTACCAGCTAACTCTTCCAAANGAATAAGAAATGTTTTTTCACAAGAAATGTATAAAATTACAGTACTGTATTAGACTTACAGTACCTAATTTATATACTGTACAGACGATAGTAAATTCAACTTACCCGCCTAAACTCTCCATTCCAGCAAAAAACACATTTAGTCAGAAAATAATCTCACAGTTGGTCATTTTATTAAAAAATTTAATCTATAAAAAGTTAAAGAATAAGCCACCTCAAAATTTCTTAACACCTATAATCAGAATCTTCTAATACCATTTCCTACCATTTAAAATTAATGACTAAGTTGCACTCATTTTTAAGCAGTTCATAAAGGAAAATCTTTAAAGAATTTTTTTAAAGAACTATAAAAATTCTATGGGTTTTTATTTATAAGTAGGCAGAAACATACAATCAGTTTTTATGACTTTCCTCAGTTTTATATTATCTGAAGAATTCTGAAATGCTAAAAATATCAGATATACAGAAAAAAAAGTACAAATCTAATCTCAAAGAAGAAAAGTTATCTAAATTTCAATCTAATATTAATTGATCTCTTGAAACAGTAATTTCCTTAATTATTCAAGATAAGTATTTCAAAAAATATTCAAATCAAAATTGTTTCTGCATTTAATTATTCTCTACAAATATATTTAGTTTATTAGATGCTAACATCAAATAATAAATTTTAGAGTAACATCACAAAAATAATTAATCACCAATACAAAATTTCCTGTAAATGTATTAGACTAAAACATCATTAATGCCTAGACTCAAACAAAACATACTTTTAAAATAAAATAAAGCCAACCAAAATATTTAGAAATAATGAAATATATTTACATATATTGCAATATATAATAATATATACATATATAATATGTGGTAGAAAATTCTTTTACCAATATTCGTACTTGATTTAACTTGAAACTGTTTAATAACATGCTCCTCCGTTATAGTTTCAATAAAATATTTGATGATACAACGAAGTATAAAAAGTGCATTATATGTTTGCCATGTGAATACTGAACTATAAAAAAAATTAAATATTAATTCAGTTCATTTTTTATTTTTAAAATATTTTCATTAATTAAAGAATTTATGTTTTAATAATAAACTCAAAATTTAATGAAACAATACACAATAGAATGAAAATTATGAATATAGTCCAATTGTGTATTCTTTCTTTAAAGTGAATACATTATAAAAAATATTATTATTATTATTATTATTATTATGTTGGGTTCAGTGGGTTATACTCGGTTAAACCGGTGGCTGTGTACTATGCCGGACCAGAGTCAAGGCATAGCAACCAAAACAAAACTAAAATTAAATAAGTGTGTCAGTGTCAGTGTCAGTATTCAGGAATTTCCTAACAATGTGGCATGTATTCAATATAGTGGCCTTCTGTAGTGTGATGTATGTATTTCTATTCAATTGTAATGTTCCCAGGCTTTTGTGTAGTGTGTGTGGTATCACACCTGTACAGGAGAGAACAACAGGTACAATAAGCACCCTTTCCATCCTCCACAGATGCCTTACTTCCTGGGCGAG